CAAAAATGAGTCGAAACATATAAGCGCTTTAGTAAAATAAAGAAGTTTTACGCTAGATAGTCGTGTTATTTGCGCAATGTCTCCCGCTTGACTCCTATTGCCCTTGTTCTTTCCTGGTTTTCAAAATTTTGATTGTTATATTTTTTGTTATTTTTCAGTTATTAGCTCAATAGATAAGACAGCAAAGTGGTATGCTTGGTAGTCGTGATGTGATAGTGGAAGTCGATGAAGCGAAAATTGGTCGGAGAAAATATAATCGGGGGATGGATAATTGATGGTCAATAGGTTTTTGGTGCTATCGAACGTAGCAATAAATCTTTTTTTATTGTTTCTGTGAAAGATCGTACTGTACAAACGCTAACGAGAATAATTCAAGAACGTATTGCATCAGGAATTATAATTTACAGATTTATGATTCGTGGAAAGGATATGTATAATATCTTTAAAGGAACTTGATTAAGTACATCAGTTAACCACTCTATTCATTTTGTTGACCCTGAATCTGGTGTACATACGCAAAATATTGAGCGATTATGGCGCGATATGCGTTCTGTTTTACCACGATTTGGTATACGAGAAGAATACTATGAAAATTATTTAGCAGAATTTATATTTAAAAAACGATACGATTTTTCAATGAGAGAATATCGCAATTTTTTAGATTAATAGCTTCTTTATACCCATTAAATAATATATCATTAAGTATAATATTATATTAATGTAATATATTCTTCATGTTGGAATGTACATGTTGTGTTGAAAAACTGTTCATAAAAACATTTTCATTAATAACTTTTTAACCAACCCATTTGTTAGTGAGGTAACTCTCGTTTCGCGTGGAAAGTCGAAATTGTTTCGTTGATAACTTTTCAACGAATAGCGAGCGAATGGGAAAGGTCAATGACCTTGAAAGGTCATTCTTCTTGAGGGTCAAGGTCAAGGTCACTCGAAAGTCATTTGGGGCTGACTGTAAAGGAAAAGTTTTACCCAATTTTTTACTCTTACTTTTTACACCAAGCTTATTCTGCATATTGTAGACAATGTACATTATTATTATCTCCAAAATTAAAATAAAAATTAAAAATAAAAAATTTTAAACAACTTTACTTCATTTTTCGAAAATTTTTTGCTATGGTCTGAGTTGCGAATTTTGGGATACTTTGTAGATATTTTTGTCAATTCCCTTACAAAAATCTAATATTGGCTAATTTAATACTAGTCAATTTATTACTAAAAACCGTAATTAACTACTTACTTGGAGCACTAACAGTACTGAACAACATTGCTTTTAATACTTATCCAGATAGCACATAATATTTACAAAATAATTGTAAGATTTATTTCGAATATTTTGTAAATATATTTCTGTGATCTTAGATTGCACAGATAATAAGTATTTATTATAAGAATTATAATATTATTACAAAATATTTATCGTACAATATTGTAGTAAATGCTATGAAAATACTTAATGAGATATTATAATTCAAGTAAAAATATTTACTAGAAATATTTATTTATATTTATTGTAAATGTTATATAAAATATGTATAAAACATTTATATAATATATTTAAAAAAATAAAAAAAAAAAATAAGTAATAATAAATATGTATGAACATTTATCATAAATATTCTGTGCTGCCTGGATAAAATAAGTAATTAATTACTGTCTTTTAGTATTGGTTAGTATTAGATTTTTGTAAGGGTTAAAAATTCATTTCTTTTAAGAGAAAACCTTTGAGCATCTTTATCAGAATCATAAAAAGTGATGAAAAGATTTGCTAAGTCTAAACATGTTGTACGAGGGGCACTATTTATATTTTGAGCCTAATAATAAAAAAACAGTAATTTGTCATTGAAAATGACTTTATTGTTTTTCAAAATATTCTCTTTTATGATCTATACACTTTTGCATGCGTTCGAATCACTTGTTTGCACCAATCGACACGAGCATCTTTTTGAGATTTTGTCAGATTATGTGGGATCCAACGAGAACAAACCTTTTTCACGGCTAAATGATCATACAATATTTTATATATGCTGGTGGAACTAATGCCTAAGGTTGTCTCAATCTCACAGTATGTCACATGACGATCTTGCATTATTAGTTTTTGCACAGCATCAATGTTTTCTGACACAACAACTGATTTTGGACGACCTTCACGACTTTCGTCGGTGAGCGAACGGCAACCACGATTAAATTCGTTATGCCAGCGTTTCACAGTGGCAAAGGATGGGGCTTTATCGCCAAAAGTGGAAGTAAGTTGATCGATGCACTCCTGTCTTGATAATCCACGTCGAAAGTCGTAATAAATCATTGCACGAAAATTTTCACGAGTTAATTCCATTTTTTCGCTGAGACACAATTTTCAAGTGACTGTAAACAATACAAATCGCGCTCAAATAACAAAACGTTCTGAAGAAGGTTATGGTAAAAAATGTCAAACTTTCTAGTGAAAACGTCAGATGCCACCTGACAACACTCAGTGTTGCCAAGGTTCAAAATATAAGTAGTGCCCCTCGTATTAAATAATTATATGTATGTTGTGCCTTTTATTAGATTGTAAAAAATATGTTCATTTTTATTTAGATTTTCAGTCTGCTAAATTCCATTTTATACATCTACAGTACGATCATGGGCTTTAGCACTTATGGAGGTGAAAAGATTACAACAAATTTATAATTATACTTAACAATAAAAATAGATTATTCTTATACAAATCGTCTCTATACAGGTCAGATATATTTTAGAAACTTTATTTAATTAAAACAATATGAAACGTCGTATAAAAAATTTTGAAACTGTGTAGTCGAATTATACAGTCGATAGATTACAGATTACTTTTATAAAAAAAAATTTTTTAATAATCTCTTTCTTTTCTTAATTTTTACTCAATTAGCATAATTTTTAAAGTTGACAACTTCTTATATCACTTATAAATTATGTTTCTCGCTGTCAGATTTTAAAATTGTAGTCATAATTTTATACGGTCTGTGTTTTCTTGTATGAGTACATTTTATATATCTGTGTGTATTCTAATTCTTCAAACATTTTTTGTAACATACAATGTATAAAAATATAAATAGAATACTTTTAAAATTTTATATTATATATTGTCTAAAGTAAACTTAAGTTTTAATATTCATGATACATATAGTTATTTTATTTAATTTTTTTAAGTCAAATCGTACTATTAACTTGTCAAATATTTTTGTAATAGATATACTATGTTTATCACTTTACATAAATGTAAATACTTATTCTTCATTTTGTAAATTATATTTTATGAAAATTACAATAAAATGCATAGTTTCGTACTGTTACACGACAATGGGTGCGTTTCATTTAACATTCACGAACATTTAATAAACAACAAGGATGAAATATGATGCGATTATGCGAACATTAAATGAACGCATTTTTTGTAACATGTATCCATGAATACCAATTCAGTTGACAGTAAAAATAAAATTATGCTAACGTAAGCAATCTGCTGTTTTTTTTAAATATATGTATAAGATATATATGTTTTAATATAAACAAATATAAGCTATATATAGTATATATATATGTATATATACGACCACAAGAAGATACTCTACAAAGTAAAGGAATTTCGTATAATCATAAGGTGTGCTGGATTTAAGATCATAATCCTCTTAATGCTAGAAGAATGTTTTGCATGCACGTGTACCTACGGTAGCATGTAAATCAAATTTTTTTTAACAAATAAGTGTGCCGCTATTTTGTGTAGCCTCTTATTTTAAAAGGCTATTTAAGTTATAATAGAATTTTCTGTAGAGGAATTTATTTTTGATCATAGCTCATGTGTTCATTTTTATAGATGAATACGTATTATAAACGTATTATAAACACACGCATCTGATTCGTGTAAAATTTTTTGCTTAGAGGACGTGCTAAGAGGAATTCCCCGCTTATCAGAATATTTTTTTAGTGTATTATATCAATCCTATCTGTATGATATCAATGACGTTTCCCGAGCTATCGTTTATCGCGATCGCTTTAGATCATTAACCGCCAATGTAAAACGTGCTTTCTTCAGGTTAATATAGTCTGTGCACTGTGTTTTATACATATATATACACATGGTATAATATAAATATAAATAAGGATAGCCACGAGTACATGTTTTAATTAATTATTTGTTAGATTGATACGTAAGTAATTGTTTTATTTCATCAAAGCTTAATTGTATAAGATAGATAGATAATTTTACGTATTAAAAGTAAAAAATAATTATCGTTGATTTTAGGATAAACATTAAAACGAGGCCACAACAATGTTAAATATTATCATTAATACTGAATATTTGAAAAGTTGGAATGGTATTTTTAAGTTGCAACAATTGGTATAAATTGTTATTATTATAGTCATTTTTGTTGATTTATTATAACCTTTTTATCAATTTTATGTATAGTATAGATAATTATAATACTTATCAAGACAGTACAAAGTTCAAAATTGAAACATAATAAGTTTTTAAGACGTCTTTTAGATGCCAAAAACGTCTGATTTCTCGTTTTGGACACTTTGTGTTGTTTGGGTATAATATTATCTTTACTAAGCATAAATAGTTAATTAATTATCAATGTTTGCCAATTTTTCGAGATAGAAATACAATAGACAATAAAAATACAATAGACAATAAAAAAAATAATTTTAATAATTGCCGTATTTAATTATATTAAATATTTGGTATACTTAGTGAAAGAAATTTTTACCATTGTTAATATTAAAGCATATAATTTATCCAGAAATACTTGAAATTTCAAGATCATATTTGAGATAATAGAATAAGATTATGTTATATCGAAATTATTATTATTTTCGTTTTTCAGTTGTAATGAGATACTAATATTTCTATTGTGTTTCCAAGTAAACATTTTTGTTGAATATTAATAATGTATTTGTTAGTAATTTTTATGTGAAGAGATTATATCTTGTTATAATTGGTCCTTTTAATTTTTTATAAACAGGTGCTGGGTGCAATTTGTATAGGAATCATCAGTGATAACATTAATCCTACCATTTTTTCTTTATGTCAAAAGGAATATTTCTTTCTTATTGCAACATCTAATTTTTTTATTGGTACTTTCATTTTTTTTCTTAGTTACCTGGTATCTCCATTTACTGCATCTATTTTACTTAAAACAATATACGTAAGTTATTCAAAATGAAACATAAATAAAATTGACTTGTTTTATATATTTATTTTATTCATTAGTCTTTTATTTTATAAAAGAAAAAAGTTGTTTCAAAGCTAAAACGTATTTACATATTTAAAACGAATTATTAAAGAAGGGTATTTTATTAAATTTATTTAAAAAATTATGTCGATAAATATTTCTCTTTAAACTTTCAGGAACCCCTTTATAATTCTTTCGCAACCGTAATGTTATTTGCGGCTTCAATAAGTCTGATAACAGAAATACATACGGATGATGTGGTGTATAATTATAAGGCATTATTAGCTGCTTCTGTGAGTATAATGTTATATTTGTAAAAAAAGTATTGTAATGCAATAAATTGAAATTGTGTTAAATATATATGTATACGGAGGGATCCCGTTTGCTTACAAATCGATTGCCTACAGTACCGTTTGCCTACATCCCATTTGACTACAAATCGATTGCCTACATGTTCTGTTGCCTACAGATCGATTGCCTACATGTATTATTGCCTACAGTTCGATTGCCTACATGTACTATTGCCTACATGTACTTTTGCCTACATGCATTATTGCCTACAGCTCGATTGCTTACAAGCACTTTTGCGCACAAATAAAAATTTTAGAAACAGAATTACTTTTGCCTACATGCATTATTGCCTACAGCTCGATAGCCTACATGTACTATTGCCTACAGCTCGATTGCCTACATGTACTATTGCCTACATGCATTATTGCCTACAGCTCGATTGCCTACATGTACTATTGCCTACATGCATTATTGCCTACAGCTCGATTGCCTACAAGCACTTTTGCGCACAAATAAAAATTTAGGTAAAGGTATAGAATACCCGTTTTTAACCCATGAAGACAGTGTTCATGGGTTAAAAATATTCCAAGCGGACACTGTCTCAGCTGTAACTTCCACGCAGTTAGGCCCCAAGCGGGTAGGATATGTTATTTTT